GGATTATGGAGGATGCAAAATAAATAGGAAAAACACCTCTGGTACTTGTCAATTCCTAGGAAATATGTTGATTTCATGGTTTTCAAAGAAACAAAATTGCGTTGCATTATCTACAACTGAAGCGGAATACATTTCAGCCGATATTTGTTGCGCATAAGTTTTATGGATGAAACAACAAATTTTAGATTATGGAATTGAAGTTGATACCATTCATATCAAGTGTGACAATACTAGTGCTATTTTTCTCACTAAAAATCCCATCCAACACTCTAGAACTAAGAACATTGAAATAAGACATCATTTCATTAAAGATCATGTCACTAAAGGAGATATAGTTCTAGAATATGTTGATACTTTGCATCAATTAGCAGATATATTTACAAAACCTTTAGATAAAGAAAGATTTTGAACACTTATGAGAGAATTAGGTTTAACTAACCTATCTTCACTTAGTGTTTAAAATAATTTTAGCACTTTTAATTAGAATTGAAAAATGCTTACAAAAATAACATTTTTGATTGCATTCTTTGCTAATAGTTAGGGGGAGTTTATGATCTTTAGTGAAAATTAATTATATGTTCAAATAAAATTTAAAGATAGATTTGATTGATTGAACATTGTTAATTTTCGAAATATGAGTAGCCAATACCACTAGAGCTAATTAATTTAGCATTCTAAGTGTTTTAAAATCAGATTTTGACATTTTAGTGCACAGAGTATCGATACCTAGGTATGGATACATCCTCACTATGTATCGATACACTATGAAAGTGTACCGATACATTCATTGAATGTGTATCGATACACTCAATAGTGTACCAATACACTCGTCGGGTATTAAATCCCTGAAATTCTTTATTCTCTCAAAAACCTAAACTAAAACACTCCTCACGTCGTCGTCCCTCTCTCTCACTGTACTTTCAAATCTTGCTCAAATCCAACGTTTCAAGTCGGAATCCATTCATTTTTTTTTAACTCTCAAACTTGCTTGCATCAACAAAATCATGCAAATATCACCACATTCTCACTTAATCCGAAATTTTCAAGGTAATTTTTCTAAAACCATTATTTTATGAATTTTTGAACTCAGGACTAGTTTTTAATTAGTTCTAGGTTGAATTAGATATCGAGCATTGTTCATATTATGATTCAAAACTATATTCTACAACTAATTTCATCAAAAACAATATTTTTCAAAAAAAATTTAAAATTTTCGAAATAAAAAAAAGTTTGACTTTAAAATTGTTGTTTTTGATTTAATTATGTTATTTTTCATGAAAACTATACATATTATGATTTTTCAAACAATGTTTTCAAAAATAGTTTTCAAAATTACCCATTAGGATTGATTTTAGAAAACCTTGAATATTACAGACTCATATTGAGTTTTGGGATTGATTGTGTTGCATACATATATTTTTAAAATTACAGGTACTCTTAACCATTCCGATTAAAAACCATGTCTCATTCAAAATATCCTATGTCTTCATCTAGTCGGTCTTCAAACCGACCTCCTATTCCTATTCCTCATCCTAATCCAAATCCAAATGAACCGAAAATGACTATCTTAAATTCCTGTTTTAACCAACTTGGTCATAGAGAAAATCTCTACCATATGTATGTTAATTTATTCCAGTCATATAAAATCCGGGAAGAGCGTATCCTTTCAATCCAAGCTATGATCGATATGAAATTTCAATATCTTCATACCCTTAAATCCTATAAATTTGATAAACTCTTTCACCTCAAACCTATCGTTTATCACCAACTAGTCCGTATTTCTATTCCAATGTGGTTTGTGTCCAAAACGAGTCTCGAACTGCTACTATAGGGATTCGATCCTATCTTTTAGGCCAATTCGTTTATATTGACTCCGACACAATAGCTAACACTTTTGGGTTGGATAACGAAAAAGAAATTGTTGCTACACCTTATAAAGCTAAGGCTAGTGCAAGTACCTTGATAACTCATCACGAACGCTTTCTTTATTTGATCATATCTTGGTGGTTTAGACCATCCGAAGGTAGGTACTCCACCCTTAGAGTCTTAGATTTATAGTGGATACATTATATCCAACATAAAAAGAAAATAAATTTGCCACAAATCATTTTTGGTGAGCTAGTAGAAATCGTGAATAATGTACCGTCCATATATGTTGAAACCTTAGTTTACGGTTTTCTTCTTAATAACTTGTTTATCAAATCAAATCTTAGGGTCTCACTTGATGTAGCCATCCCCTTTAAGAACCAAATAAATTTCACAACCTTGAAGAAATCGGGATGGTCCGGGGAAAATAATCAATGGGTTCGATCCATCGAGAAAACTAGGCGCTAGCTCTTCACGAGCTCCTCCGGCACCGACTGCGGATGATGATCTAGAGCTTGAAGAACTCATGCGCGATATAGATGATCACGTACCCGATGACGAACTGGTCCAGCAAGAAGATCAAATGCCTCTATACTTTCGATCGTTTTTTGAGTCATTTGATATGAGGTTTGCATCCATTAAGTCCCATTTAACCGCTATGGGGGCTCAATAATTGGAAATTCAATGGGAGATGCGCGAAAATAACGAAGCTATGAATGAATGATTAAATGCGCTTACACTCGAGATGCGAGCACATTTTCATCCTCCCGATCCATCTATGGATGATTAGACCCTTTTCTTACTTTAATTTTCTTGGATTGAACTTATGACTTATTGTTAAAACATTTTGGATTTTTTGGATTTGTGTTTTGGATGATTGGATATTTTGTTTGAATGGTTTAATTTTTTTAACTTAATGTTTATATTGGTTTATTCAAAATATGCATCATTTACATCTTAGTTAAATGTGACCAATTACCATTGCACATTTGTATATGAATATTAATTATGAAACTAATGGCTAATCTTTCTCTTGATTGTGATCTTAGCAGCTTAAGCTTTATCTATAAATTGGCTAAATTTTCTTAAAATCTTGTTTAAAAACGTTTTATAGAGTCCTTTTTATTTAACAAAAAGGGGGAGAATAAAGAAGGGGGAGTGGGGAGTAATCTTCAAAATTTATTTCAAAAATGATTTTCAAAGAAAATCTTAAAATTTCTTAAATGTTTTATTATATCAAAAAGGGGGAGATTGTTGAAAACATTTTGATGTTTCAATATAACAAATAGAGTATAAATGATTTTAAGATTTTATATCCGATTTCAAATATTTGATTAAATTATTCGAATATAAAAAATATTACTCCAAGTTTTCAAATGTCAATTTCAATCCTTACTTAAGTGTAAAATCGTGTATGGGTCTTAAAAGATTTTTGAAACAATTTTTACAAAGTATTTCGAACCTTAATTGGGCCAACAATGATTTTTGCAAAGAGAGGTACCGATACACTGTTGGATGTATCGATACACCCCTAATATCGAATGCATTTTATGTATCGATACACTGGCCGATGTACCAATACACTAAGTCAACCAACGGTCGAAATATTTGAATTTTACAGAGTGTACCGATACACCTAGAGAGTGTACTGATACACCTAGAGAGTGTACCGATACACCCACGCTCCCAACATATTTTTTAAATGATAAATTACATCACAACGTCTCTATTGACTTCACCAATGATCCCCAATGTTCAGAAGTGATCTAATGTGTATTTAAACAAACTCAGAAGTCATTGATAAAAAACAAGAAACAAGTATTGAGAGAGAATCAAAGAGAAAGTCTTGAACTTATCGTTTGAGCATTTTCAAGCCTATTTTCATTCAAATATTCATTTTTCTTTCAAGAACACCATTTTGTGCGCAATTGTATTCATTATTGAGTGTTATTTATTTGTTCTAGAATTGTGCAAACATCTTGCCTTGTGAGGTTTTCTGTAAGTTTGCAAAATTTATATTTTTTTCTTTGGGAGGGAGTGTTCTCAAGAATTTGGGGTATAATTCTTGAGGGAGTTGTAAGGTTATTCTTTGTCCTCAAAAGAAAGAACAAATTAGTGAATTTGTTGGAAAATCTTTAGTGTGGATAACTAAGGTAGTGGACGTAGACTTGGTTAAGAAGTCGAACCACTCTAAATCGCTGTGTAATATTTTTTAAATTTCTGCAAAAACTTCCTCCGAAATTTTTATTTTCGATTCACCCCCTCTTGTTCGATTCATCGATTAACTGAACAAGTTCTAACAAGATAAATCGTCACAAACCGTCTACCCAATTTTATATCAATCCGCCCTAATTCTTTGTTTATGACCATGCCATGCATTCACACATTGCTGTACTCAACTTTGTTTATTTATTATAACCTTTTTCTTTTAAACATTGTTTTTAGCACGGAGAATTTTCTAACGACTTTTGACATCCTATTTATATACGTCAAAACCCACCTAAAATTACTAATTATTATACTGTTTTTCTTAAATTAATACTAGAAAAAACTTAAGCCACTTATACAATTTTGGATAAATTAAATCGAAACGTGGATACTTTATTTGAAATAATTAAATAATTTAATAAATTAAATTAAAATACGAGTGATCAAAGTGAAAAAAACAATAACAAATGGTTACGGTCGAGGAGTGTACCTTAAATTATTTTATCTTCACATTGTGTTATCTGAGGTCATCAATTCCAGCTCGGCGACCAACTACCGTTGATCTGACCTCTAAAATACGCGCCGCATAGACACGTGTGAAGTGCAAATTTGCCATGTCCCACCTTTTATAATCAAAACACCCCTACTTCCAATGTCGACTTTGTGCGGTTTACTCTTGGCTAGATCATAATCGTCCATTTTTTAAATCTAAAGGGATCTGATGGACCCACTTCTTACACGTTACATCATACGTGGATCTGAAGTGAAAAATTAGAATAGTGTTTTAGCCTGTCACCTATATTAAGACGAGAAAATAGCCTTTCGAAACAAAATTGAAAGACAAATTTACCCATGTCGGTGTTCTATTAGTAGGATAGGTTCATATTAGTTTTGAAAAACATGTACTAATTTGTCATATGATAAGTGAATCAAAAGTTAAACTATGTAATATTCTTTAGCTATTTGTGTATGCTTCCCGAGAAAAAGAAGAAGAAAAAGGGAGTAAAAGAGAAGACGGATTTGATTCTCAACAACTGTTACTCTAACCTCAAAGTCTGTAGCTCTCCAGTTTTCCTCTTTTTCCCTCTTCAATTTCCAGGGAATCAAAGGGACAATTTTTTTTCTTTAAAAAAATCAATTTGATTTTCGTTTTAAGTGGTTGTAAATTTGAATTTTGATTGGAATAATAGATATGAGCAAAGAACGGCCACCCGAGCCTCTCGATTTTTTCATTTGGACTGTTAAGGTATATATCTGCACTCTTGTAGTTTTGATTTTATTTGGATCTTTATTTTTGTGAAGTTCAGATCTTGAGTTTTTTCTTTTACGAGATTTTAGTATCGCTTCTTAATTATGGAATATTCCTAATTGTATTGTAACTTTTTTTCGAGTTTGAAGTTCCGATGCTGACACTTCGTCTCTCGAATTTTTTCAATTTGTTAAAAAATTGTGCATTTGATAGTTATCAAATTTGCAATCGTTCTAATATTTTGGTTTGTTTTTTATTACTGTAAACTGTCAGAAATAAATTGATAAAGAGAAGGTGATAAGCTTTTATTGTTTTCTCTTTATGATCAAAATGAAAGTTTTGCTTTGGTTTCTTGGACATCATTTTGATATATTGTTATTTTAATATTGGAGCATAGGGTTCAATCTCTCTCGTCTTCTATCTCCTGTTATAGTATGGATACTATTTTTATTTTGATGAATCCATATATTGTTGGACTGCCCTCTTGCTAATATATGACATGGTAGCATGTCATCAAAGAATGTTTGTTCAGGGTTGCCATTTTCACCTTTTTATGGAGTTCAATGTGTTGCTATTGTTCATTAAGGTCATCCCGAGATTGTCTGAGTGGATTAGTCCAACTGTGACAAGAAAGTAAATGAACAATCTTGGTCTAGTTACTTCCAGAAATTGTATAACTACCTTTTTCTTAGCTCGGCATATGGTCTGTTGACACTTCTGAATCCGATAAAGACATTCTCATGCAAGTTTATCGAATTCCCAATTAAAGGAAAGATTCCCTTTTGTAAGGAAAAGAATTTCCCGGGTGCATCTTTTTTTTTTTTTTGGTAATGTCGGGATCTTGAATTGTATCTTCATTAGTCCCTGTTGCAGAGGACTTTTTGTGGGAAGATGACAGAAAATACTGACAGATACATCAGGTGGGTCTTTATTGTCGAAGATGAGCTGTTTATCTCAAGTTATGTGACATATTTCTAACATGATTGGAGTGTCTTAATTAACGTTTTGGAAGTTAGGGTAACTATGTATTTAGGTTTTTTCATCCTCCTTGGAAGACTTGTTTGTGCTTGTTTAATGTTGAGGGTGGTATTCACCAATTGCCCCAACAACATTTTTTTAGGTGAACTGACTCAGTAAATGCACTTTTTGTTGTGTACTTTCAAGGATAGACATGGAGAAAATAATATGCATATGACCTTTTTGTTCATTATCATAATTCATAACCTTTCCCATCAGATAATGGAAACAGATAGTGATATATCTGATTACCATTCTGACTAACAATGAATCCCCGAAAGAGAAACTGAAACTAATTAACAAGGCAACTTGTGTATGCCTTGAAAAATGCTGCAAAAGGTGTTTATGATGTATAAACAGACAGTTCTTGAAGTCATCGGTGAAGATTTTGTTACAACTTTTCCTTTTGAAATGTAACATAGAGGTTTATCATAGGGATATTTAATTCAATGACAAACTTTTGCTCTGCGGTTTTATTCTTTTTCTGACAGGATGTTGGTATGTGGTTGGAAGAAATAAATCTTGGTGGCTATCGCCAGATTTTTAAGGAAAATAGTATCAATGGGGAATACTTGGAAGGAATGTCTATGTTTACAACTGAACAGATTCTTCGGTTTATAAGGCGATGCCATATGAAGTGGGGAGACTTCATCACACTATGCAAGGAACTGAGGCGAATAAAAGGTCTCTCACAATCTCTCTCCCCCCTTCTCTCTCGGATTGTATATAGTATATAACATGTATATATAATGTATACAACAACAATAAAACCCTATTCCCATATGTAATGGGGTTAGGGGAGGTAGGGTAGTAGGCTGCCCCCAACGCCAGGTTGAAAGCAGCTTCCGTGGAAGACCTCCGGCAGTCAGAAAAATTTAAAAATAAAGATAAAGTATGTGTGTATATAATGTATGTGTGTATATTTCTGTAAGTAGTATTTCTTCTTTTTCTGTTACACGGGCGTTTTTCTCTTTTGTGTGCATTATTTGTCTAGCTGCCAAGCATTGCAGTGTGCATTGTTTACCTTTGCAGCATAGAATTTGTTGTGCATTTGTCAACAGCCTGGTGCTATTTCCCCATTTTTGTTTTCTCAAACAAGAGGAAGCCTTCCTAGAATAGATAGCTTCATACTGATTGATTTTAATGCATTTTTCAGTGGCTTGCCTTAAAGGTGAACAAAAAGTCCGCAGGCCGTGGTGGGCTCCGCCTTGCCTTTCAGTAGTCTTTGGCAAGGTGGCAAAGAGCAATCGACAGTCACGCGTCGTCTCTTTGAAGCTGGAACCATAATGAAGAATATGCCTTTTACGTGCACATGTCGTGTTTCTCCTCGCTAAGGGGAACTGAACTTTTTGTTTAAAAATCTGTCGAAGGTATGGCTCATAGTTCTTCCTTGAAGAACTCTTCTATGTATACAAAGCCTTTTCCTTTTAACATATCGTTATCTGTTGATTCATGCATCTTGTTCAGTAAATTGTAATAATTTCACTCTTTAGGCATCCCTTCTTGAAATGTTTCATTACTCTGTTTTCTCTGTCAAAAAATTTCTTTTTGTTTTGGAATCTTCATATTCGGTCTATCTATTCAAATCTTTACGTAGTTTCAAAACGTCTTATAAGGGTCGGTTTGTTTCCTGGAAAATAGATTCAGCAAAATGAATTATATGTCAGGAAAAATATTTTTTATTATTAACACCAAATACCATAAATAATATTATTTGTTAAAAAATGATATTATTATTTTAAAATATTAGAATAATTTATTTAATATTATATATTTTGTATCTAAAATTTTATAAATAAAAATATTACATTATTTTTATTTTTTCAAAATAAAATATTTATAAATTATATTAATAATTTATTAAAATAAGAATAATATATTATTAAAATAATAATAATAATAATAGTAAAATATTAAATATTATAATATTAAAATAAAAATATTATACTATATTTTAAAGACTATATTAAAATAAATATTTGATAATTAATAAATAATATCAATAATTTATAATTTGAAAATTGTTAAGGTCAGCTTGATCCAACCTTGAAAATTTGTTAATTTAAAAAGTAAAACTAACTAGCAATTTTAATAAAACAAAGATTTCGACTACTTCAGATAGTACATAGGTTTAGTTTTGATTTTTCATCCCATAATGTTAAAATTTGGAAATTTTAAATTTATTTACTATAATTTAATTATATGATACGCGTATAGGTTCACTTTGGATAAACTATAATTTATTTTATTTTCATAATTAATTTAAATATGTTCGTACGAATCAACTTATCTCAATATTTAAAAGAATCATTATTGTTTTTAGAGATTACGTGTTCAAACACCAACGACTGAGGGTGATTAAGAGTTCTTTTATCAAATGATTGAAAATATTTAGAGTTATACTACTTTGTAATCACTTTAGTTTAATAAAAAATAATTTAAATTTCTCTAATAATTTTATCAAAATTTTAGATCTTTTATAACTCATAAATAGACACTTAACATACGTAATTTATTAGAGTATAGTTCATAAATATTATATTTTTTCCCCAAAAATTAGATCAGGATCGAATATTAGTATTAATGAACGAACGGTTAAGATCAAATCCATAATCAGAACACTATGAAGCGGACCTCATGCGGTCACCCCCCGGCCGAATGACCTAAGTGCCTAAACTCTAAAGCAATTCAAAATTCTCCCACTTCAAGCACTCTTCAAGTTGAAAATCTCTCGCTAACAATTTTCCCAAAGGAAAAGAAAAAATCCCATAAACCCTAAATCAAATTTCTCCATTAAAAATAAAATAAAAGGAACGGAACTAAAACAGTGGAAGAAGAAAAGAGAAAATGTTCTCTCCAGGATTGAAACGAAGCAAATTTAGCTCTCAAAAGGAGAGAAATGTAGGGTCAAATCCAAGGGCACCAGATTCTCCAGCTCCACTAACAGAGAACCGTAAATCAGGTGACCAGACTCCGATTCCAGATCGCCCCAGCACAGGCACTCCCGCTCCTTGGGCTCCTCGTTTGTCTGTCCTTGCTAGGTACTATTTCCACTCCTCATTTTGAGGTTTTATTCATTGAGCAAGAATCTTATGTCTTTGACATAGTTATGGTTGAATTTGAATTTTAGAATCGTGAGTTCGTCTTTATATTTCGCTTAGAAAAGTATCCCTGTATAAAAAATATTTTGAAGTTAGGCTTCTGGAATTAAGCTGAAGAAATGTGGGGAAGTGGCAAGCAAAAATGGTAAGTGAATTGTCGACTGTTAAGAAATGGAGAATTCGATACTGGACAGCTTAATAAGGCTAGGATTTGTTTCGCATTTAAGGTTGTTGATTCTTGTGGATGGTGCTGTGTCATTGATGCAGGCACCGCATGCAAACTGTAATCATGCTTTGTAATGTTAGGAAGTTTGAGTCTTCAAGAAAAAAAGAAAGAAAAGAAACGAGAACAGTGAATAGGGATTGGCCTTGCTCCCAAGTGTTGTTTTGGTTTCTCAAGGAATTTACGTGCTGGACTAATCAAATAATGTTTCCAAACTGCTTTTATTTGTTGGTTAAACATACTTTATTTTTTTTTTCCTGCAGGATGGCTTAAATCACAAAATACACTATAATTTATGCCTTCTTAGGTCTGATTAGGGATTATTGTTGAAACTAATGAAAAACAATAGATGAAAAACATATGGCTACATGAGTAGGGGATTTGAGAGAAAGAATGCCTAACCCTAAGGTTAATTTTAGCAACGTCCAAACTTAAGAGAACAATTTCGAACTTTAATCTTCATTAACTAAAGCAAACTAAAAAATAAATAGAAAATTATATAGGACCACTGCTTCATTTCAGGGTTACCTGATAAAACCCCAATTAACCTATAAAAGTTCCTTCTTAAAAAAAAGAAAATTTGAAATCTGCGGAATTTAATTTTTTCATAGATTTCAAGAGTTTATATTTCACTTCCTTAATGTGTCTGTTTGTGGCTACAACTCTTAGTTAGTAACTAGTAATTAATTTAACATTTTAAGCCCTATTGCAATCAGAATTCCACCAGCAAACAAGAATGATAAAGGGGACGGAATAGATCCAATTAAGCCTGTTTTTGTTGGAGAGTTTCCACAAGTTGTTCATGATGAACAGACCAGCTTTTTGCAGAGGCGTGTTCCTGGTCAGTATTGCTGGCTCCTATCACTATCTGTGTCCAGATCTGTGCAATTCTTTTAAAATGACTAATTTGTTGTTTCCACTTGATTTGTGCCAGCTGATGTTTGTATATCAGGCGGAATGGATCAGGGAACATGCTTATCATGGATTATATATGGGAACAAAATTTTTATCTGGAGTTATCTGTCATTAGCAGCTTCTAAGAAATGCGTTACTCTTGAAATTCCTTCTGATGTTTTAGGAAATGCAGATGGTGGAAGAAATTCCTCTCTCCGCAATAATTGGTTGCTTTCTATTGTCAATTGGGATAGCACCTCAAAAGTAACAAATAGAGTTGCAAATCATCGCTATTCTGCTGGTATTGTCACGTGTAATCAGAAAACACAAGCTGTTTTATATTGGTCTGACATCTTTGCAGATGTGGTACCTGCACCTGTTATCACTTTTGCATCTTCAGATGAATCATGGGTGACTTCTTCACGTAATGACAGTAATGCCACCCAAAACAAACATGCAGTGAGTTTTTCTGGTTCAAGTTATTTCAACTCTTTGATTGCTTCTGCAATTCCTGGTACCCGTAATGCTTGTGTTGCCCTTGCATGTTGTTCCAGTGGCGAGCTTTGGCAATTGTACTGTAGCCCAAGTGGTATTCAACTAAATAAAGTACACCAGAACATACGAAGTTTGTCATCCCAAGGCCCTGGCATTGGTCAACTTGTTGGGAGCAAGGGATATCCAAGGCCAATGATATGGTGCCTTCCTAACATCTCCGTTTCCGACTCCAACCGCCAATTTTTTCTACTGACAGAAAATGAAATACAATGTTTCAACATCAAGCTTTTTCCTGATTTAAAGGTGTCAAAGCTTTGGTCTCAGGAAATTGTTGGCAATGATGGTGATATGGGTATTAAGAAGGATCTGGCAGGACAGAAACGAATCTGGCCTTTGGACCTGCAGTTAGATGATCATGGTAAAGTTATTACTGTTCTTGTTGCCACCTTCTGCAAGGATCGGGTTAGCAGCTCAAGTTACACTCAATATTCTCTTTTGACCTTGCAATATATGTCTGAGGTGAACACCTCAGATTTTCATGAAAGGGTTTTAGAGAAAAAGGCTCCGATCCAAGTGATAATTCCTAAAGCAAGGGTAGAAGACGAAGACTTCTTATTCTCCATGAGACTTCGAGTAGGGGGCAGGCCCTCAGGATCAACAATCATACTTTCTGGCGAAGGGACTGCAACAGTCACCCATTATCATAGAAATTCTACTCGGCTCTATCAATTTGACTTACCTCATGATGCTGGGAAAGTTCTTGATGCTTCGGTTCTTCCGCCTACTGATGATGGGGAAGATGGTGCATGGGTTGTGCTTACTGAGAAAGCAGGGATATGGGCGATACCAGAAAAGGCTGTTTTACTTGGTGGGGTTGAACCCCCTGAACGAAGCTTGTCTCGCAAAGGAAGCTCAAACGAAGGATCCACACTAGAAGAGAGAAGGAACCTTATGTTGGTGAGCAATATTGCTCCAAGAAGGGCTAGTTCAGATGCATGGGATGTTGGTGGTAGACAATCGACTGGCATGACTGGGATTACACGCCGAACTGCCCAAGATGAAGAATCAGAAGCTTTCCTAGGTCAAATTTTCCATGAGTTTCTGATATCTGGGAATGTTGATGGATCACTAGAAAAACTCAAGAGTTCTGGGGCTTTTGAAAAGGGTGGTGAAACCAATGTCTTTGTACGGAAAAGCAAATCAATTGTTGACACCTTAGCTAAACACTGGACAACTACTAGAGGTGCTGAAATTGTTTCTATGGGTATCATATCAGCTCAACTCATGGATAAGCAGCAGAAGCATAACAAATTTCTCCAGTTTCTTGCTTTATCCAAGTGCCATGAGGAGTTATGTTCTGGACAGAGTATGATCTGGCAGTTTTGCCATAGATTTTTCTGCTGCATTTCATTTTCTTCTTTTTTCCTTTTTTGTTAGAATTTATTTGCATAAAACAGTAGGTAGTATCCATCATGGTACATTTAATATAAACTCTGACTAGTCTACCCTTTTAGTTGGTTTTGAACTGTTATTTAACACTTTTGTTGACTTATAACATTGACGACCTAGCTGGGCATTTCATGTTGCAATATGTAGTCAAGTTGCAGAGGTGACTTCATGTTCAGTTGTTATTAGTGTGTGGAGGATTACATTGACTTTTTGGCTGCAGTTTAGAAAGCATTTCCTGGTTGTCATATTTGATTTTTGAGTAGCATCTTTGATCTTTCTATGGCTTCAATCAAATATTTTTTCCATTGCTAGACATTCTCAGGAGCGAACCCTGTAGGCAGGTTCTCATTCTTGATGTTATATATGACTGTTAAGGGGAATAATTTATTTAATGTCTATCTTGCTTTCTAATAAAACAACAGACAAAAGAGAAACATGCCTAATTTTCAACTTGTTTGGCAGGACATTCTTTGCAAATCATCTTAGAACATGGTGAAAAGCTCTCTGCAATTATTCAACTCAGGGAACTGCAGAATGTGATCAGCCAAAACCGTTCAACTGGAGTTGGCTCAAATCATTCAAGTTTTGAAATTCAAGTTTCAGGAGCTCTTTGGGATTTGATTCAGTTAGCAGGGGAGAGGGCCAGGCGAAATACTGTCCTTCTGATGGACAGAGATAATGCTGAAGTGTTCTATAGTAAGGTCTCTGATCTTGAACAGGTATTTTATTTCTTAGAAAGGCATCTGGAGTATATAATCAGCACGGAGCAACCAGTTGGATTTCAGATCCATAGAGTTTGTGAACTTTCAAATGCATGTGTTACTCTATATCGAGCTGCCATGGACTACAAGAATGAGTATCACCTATGGTATCCACCACCAGAGGGTTTAACACCTTGGTATTGTCAACCAGTGGTACGTAATGGGCTTTGGAGCGTTGCGTCTTTCATGTTTCAGCTGTTAAAAAAAACATCTGAGCTTGATATGTCAGCAAAATCACGACTATATTCTCGTCTGGAAGCATTGGCTGAAGTTCTTCTGGAGGCATCTAGTGGTGCTATAAATGCTAAAGTTGAGCGAGGAGAAGAACACAAAGGTCTTCTAAATGAGTACTGGAGTAGAAGGGATGCTATTCTTGATTCCCTTTATCAACAAGTTAAAGGTTTCGTAGAGGCTGGTTATCAGGTTAATCCTTTTATGCTCAGCATTGTCTTCTTCTGTTCCTGGTTGTCCAGTTGCATGCATCCTTGAAGTGTTTATTTCATGCAGGACTTAGCTGACAACCCAGAAGAGAGCCAAGAAGAAATCCTTAAAAAACTATCTTCAAGCCTGCTGTCAATAGCAAAACGACATGAAGGCTACCAGACCATGTGGAACATATGTTGTGATCTCAATGATTCAGGATTGCTAAAAAATCTTATGGTATGGATTTGAGTATTTGCTCCGTCATATTTTTCTTGTTTGGGTTCATGGATTTTCTTGAACACCTAATAGGTATGAAATGGCATGCTTTCTCACTGCCCATGCATTATTTGCAACTTTTGGACATCTTTCTACGCTTTCCTAACCCATGCTTTCTTCAAGTTGCAATAACAAATGGAAAAAAGAAGTGATCTTTGTATTTTTCGTCTTGCAAGAATTTGTAGACATGTTTGCTATTACATTAATATTTCAAATTGTTGTGTTCAAGTGTTATTTCTTGTTTTGTTTTTTGGGATTATTAGGGTATTTGGTGTATTGACTATTTCAAATTTTGATGCGAGTTTAGGAGATGGCCTATCAGTACCTATGTTACTACTGTTTCTACTTGCTTTTAATTATTGAGATATCATGAAGTGTTTTGAGTGTTAAGATGTCTCTCCCATTGGTTCTCTTATCTTCCTCTCCCCTGTATTTTCAAAATTTTCATTAAATTCCTCTTCTCCTTGCCCCTTTTCTGCCTCATTTTCTATTTATTCTCTTTCTCCCTCCTCTTGTTGCCTTGTTGCGTTCTACAATAACTTTAGTTTATGGATTATGCAGCATGAGAGCATGGGACCTAGATGTGGATTCAGTTACTTTGTGTGTAAACAGCTGTATGAAAAAAAGCAATTCTCTAAGCTGCTAAGGCTTGGGGAGGAATTCCAGGAAGAGCTATCCATTTTCTTATATCATTACCAAGATCTCCTATGGCTTCATGAATTATTCCTTCATCAGTTTTCAGCAGCTTCAGAAACTCTTCATGTTTTGGCTCTTTCTCAAGACGAGGGCTCTATTTCAATCACTGAAGAGGAGATTGATTCTCACCATGCAAATCCAGTTCCAACATTGACCGACAGGAGACGACTTTTGAACCTCTCCAAGATAGCTGCAGGTAATTTATTTTGACATTTGTCATTTATTACTTGATTGCACTCTGGTTCTATTTCCCATTGGTTTTATTCTCTGTTTCATGGGAAAATTTAATCATTTTTCCATCATAAAATAGCGCTTAGTACCTAGTAGAGGTGATTCTTGGAGGAAAAAAAAAAGACTTGAAAACAGAAAATAAGGAAATTTGATGGAGGTTTTATGCGAATTGCTATCATTGGTAAATATTTTTTCTTTCCTCCCTCTTCGCCTCTTTGATCATATTCCAGTTTCTAAAAGTTTGAAAACATAATTTTAAGAATCTCCTACTATTAGGCCTATAAAACCTCTCTTCCGTTTCCCATTTATCCTTTTTCCTTCACTATCTCTTAATGAGCAGGTAAAGATGCCGACTCACAGGTAAAAGTGAAACGAATAGAAGCTGATTTGAAGATTTTGAGATTGCAGGTTTGTTGCATTCAACGAGAATATATACATATATTCTGCTTTTATCTTTAAAGTGCCGTTGTTATCATTAGTGCATGATTTTATCTCGTCATGACCTGTAGTGATTCATTTTAGATGTTATAGACCTTCTGAACGTGGGTATAATCAAGCTGAGCTGAATCAAGTTTTTCTAAGGCTCAACCATTACATTACAAAAATATTATAAACTGGATCTCTCACAAGCTATTTGAGCTAAGTATTAAAATTCGATATTGCTGACTGCTTTCTGAATCATTTTAGGTACTCTATATAATGTAATGGAAGTGCTTGAATTGCACCAGTACATGGAGATACATCAACCCGTTTTATTCATTTATAGTTAAGTCTGTATCCTTTTGTTGTCGTCTGCAGGAAGAAATTATGGAAGTTCTACCTACCGATGATACAAAGCAACATGTTGAAAAACAGCTCCTTCGGCCCGAGGAGCTTATAGGGCTGTGTCTCAAAAGTGGAAGCAAAGAGCTAGCTTTGCAGGTCTTTGATGTATTTGCATGGACGAGCTCATCATTTCGCAATAGCCATAGGAACCTTTTGGAAGAATGCTGGAAAAATGCTGCCGATCAAGATCCTTGGAGCCAACTCTATGAAGCATCCGTATCCGAAGGTTGGAGTGACGAGGAGACCTTGAAACAACTTAGCCAAACTATCCTTTTCAAGGCTTCAAACAGGTGTTATGGTCCGAAGGCAGAAACCATTGAAGACGGATTCAATGAAGTTCTACCGTTGAGACAAGAAAACGCAGAAGTAGCCGGTTTGAAGGATACACGATCATCTGTGGAGGCAATATTGATGCAACATAGGGATTTCCCGTATGCTGGTAAGCTAATGCTGACTGCTATCATGCTAGGATATGTACAAGGGGATGAAGTTAAATTAGAAGAGGGGAGAATGGTATGACGGAATATTAGGGCTAATACTGATTACATTCTGGGATGGTCTTTTTCATTTGTGGTGTTTGTATCAACGTTTCCCCCTTCTTTGGGGTCTTATTAAATGCATGGCCCAAACATGCATTCCGATTTTTTTATATATATTTTAATTTACGCGTACAATAATCTCGGGCTTGGCGTGAGAAAGATAATTAGTGTGTATTATAAAATATTAATAAAATCATTTTATTGGATTAATAACATTTTGTACAGACCTTATAAGAATATATTCTCTTAAATCTAGAGCTTGAACAGAAGGAACAATTAACCCTAAGGCAAAACCCAATTTTAGATTTCTCCAAAAGAAATGGATCAGGAGATTCCAGCCCAATATTATTAGTGGATCCATCCGAAAAACACTCGACAAGATCTTGTGAATCCCACGTGGCATAACGTCAGCCTCAACATCTGTCCGAAGGAAATCAAAATGGGAATCCACATCCAATGCAAGGGCCAATAGATTGTTGCTGACATGTACATTTCCTGATCCACATCAATCCTCTCATCTCCAGTCCTCCATTATAATCCAATCCCCGGAAAATGAACAACTTAGATAGATCCCTAAAGACGGGTCTTTCAAAGCTGTAATCTTAATCGCTATTCGCTATGTATGTGCTATATGTTACAGCAAAACTCGCTTACTGATGTAATTCCACTTCTTATCTTTGCTGCTTTTGCATGATTAATGGCTAATCTTCTGTTCCTGAAACTTCGAAAATTATTCCTTGGGGTGCCGAAAATAATGCAATAAAATAAATGTGAGAGTCGAAATCAGATTAATAATAATAATAATAATAATAATAATAATGGACAGATGCATGTCCGAAACGTGCCAGTGAACGCACCAACCAAGCACCATCTTCTCCGAAGCTATCTTGTACTTTTAATGACAAGCTAACACTTGATCACCTAACAATATATTCCCCATCAGTGCTTGCTTCCAAATACTACTCCCCAAATCTCATTTGGACTTGCATTAAACAAACTGGCTTTTGCCTACCTGCACTACCCCCGCATTCTTCTTCTTGGATTTTGCTGCACACCAGCCGATTCTCCTTTACATAACATCATCCCCAATCATTTCGGATGACAACAAAATAGTCTATACATTATGCTATTGTAAATTGTTTTGATTACAAGCGTAATTGTATAGTATCGTAGTCAGCTGTCGCCTATAAATACATCTATAAACTCCTTCAAGCACCAACAATTTTCACGGGGGAAAGAGGTTTTTCCTGTAATGAGTAGTGGTGATCCTACTATGGTTAGTTCCTCCGTTGCACTTTTGCAAGAAAGGTTTAGGCAGCTGCAGAAGGTTAGAGAAAAGAGAGAAGAGAAAGAGCTTCTGAAACTATTCTCCGAGCCTGATCACGCCGCCGAGTCAATCAAACGCTGTGAGCCTAATGGATTGTTGTCGACCTTCGAACCCGAGATGGCTTTTCCTTCCAGGCAACCAAAGCAAGATTCACTCGCCCTTGGACTTAATGAGCAGGCAAACCGATTTCAGAGCCATGGGAATCCCAGCATCAACGAGCTTATGGCCTAACACTGCAGCAAGTCAGCAACTTCAAGAACCTCAAAATATCATGAGAACTCTGATGTTGATACCTCTCTTCATTTGTAGATGGAATTTTTAGTATGTCTCATAATCTTTATGTTAACCTACCTACTCTCTCTTTCCTCTTGTTTTTTTTTTTTGTTCTGTAAGACTGGAGGGGGTAATATAACTATATATTTACTGATAATATAAGAGTCCAAAACTCATCTTCATCATCAAGAATTAACCGATGTTCAATCCAGGGTTTGTAGTCAAAAGGTCAAGGCTTTGTGAGAGGAAAAAATATGAAGAATGGGCTTATGATTTAATGTCGGGATTCTCTCTTAAGATTCAGGGTTTGGGATTGGGCTTTTTCTTGTCTCTGATGGCTGCGATCCATTTGTCGTCTTTTTTGTATTCGAGTTAATGTTGTAAACAGCATCCAATGTAGACCCTAACGAACCCAATTTCCGCCAACAGTCCCTAATATTTTCAGCTATCTCCAGAAGCTTCTGAAGAGGGAAAACCCCTACCAAAACCCTCGCAATATAATATTAATTTTACCTCTCCCCTTAATCCTCATCGCACCAATTCTAAACTTTCCCGAACCTTGCTCGCTTCTCTCCTCTAATCCTCAATGATGCATCGCCTCTCCCGGCGCTCTGTCTCCGCCGCCCTCCGCGCCCCCGCTACTCGTTACCGGGTTGCCGTGGCTGCTCCAATCGCCTCGTCCACTCCCATCCTTGTCTCGGTACTCCCTCCCTCCCTCCCTCTCTCTCATTTCTCACTTTTCTAAATCTTCGTTCCTTTTGATTGATGCTAAAGGAATTAATGCAAAAGTTAAGCTTTTAAAGTATTTTTTAAAGTATTTTTTCTTTCTTGATAATGGTTATTTAACTTTTTTATTTTATTTTATTTATTATAGTATAATTTGTGATTCTAATAGTTTTATCTAATTACTATTTTATTGGATCGTGAGTAGGCAGAGGGGAGTGATAATAACAGCAGGTGGTACTCGGCACTAACGGGAGGGAAATGTAACACGGCCAGATATTCAGCTCAACTGAACTTGAAAAATGATTATATTTTGATAAAGTTCTTATTTAGATATTTTATGAGTTTTATTTATGATGCTGTTGTTCCATACATGTTGACAGGTTAGTCGGCTCATGGATCTTATTGTCAACAGCTTGTACAGCAACAAAGAGGTGTTTCTTCGGGAGCTTATCAGGCATGTTTGGAGAATTAATACGTTCATCCTTGGATTATTAAAATATGACGATTTCACAGTAACAATAACCTTGTCAAAATTATTCGAACATGAGGAGCAAACTGGAATTTTAACTTCTTTCATTTTAGATAAGCCAATCAGCTCATACTATTAGCATATGTTGTTATCTGCTTCCCTACTGGACGAAATTCAAGATAACCATGTATGGTAGAGTCAAATATATATTTTTTTAATTTGGTAATTTGAAGAGATTCCGACAATGCCTGGATGATACAGAGTAGTCTTTCCAATAAATGATCTTTAAGCCAAATTTTTAGGAGCCTGCCTAATTCCATTATGTGATGTTTGGTATCCTTAAATCCTTTTTTTTTGGTTTCTGCAGTAATGCAAGCGATGCCTTGGACAAGTTACGGTATCTAAGTGTTACTGATTCTCAGCTTTTAAAGGAAGCTTTTGATCTTGACATTCGTATCCAAACTGATAAAGACAATGGGATAATAACAATTACGTAAGTATATGAGCTGAAAGGTTCTTTGGATACGGAATTGTTTTTTAGCAATACTCATTTTCTTACTTTGTTTTCTACAGTGACTCAGGCATTGGTATGACAAAACAAGAACTTGTTGATTGTCTTGGAACAATTGCACAGAGTGGAACTGCTAAGTTCTTGAAGGCTGTGAAGGTTTAATAATTATACTAACATTCATTTTCTGATTCTAGGGTTACATGTTATGTGCTTTAACAAAATGTGCAATTTTGCAGGAAAGCAAAGATGCTGGTACAGACAACAACTTGATCGGTCAGTTTGGTGTTGGTTTCTATTCAGCATTTTTGGTTTCTGATAAGGTATTAGTTACTTGTCATTTTAGATCTCATGAATTCAGAAGTTCCTGTAGGTAGCAGTTTCTCATGTAGTTTATTGTAATTCTAGGTAGTTGTCTCAACAAAGAGTCCGAAATCTGATAAACAATACGTATGGGAAGGAGAGGCAAATGCAAGCTCCTATTCTATTCGGGAGGAGACAAATCAGGAGAATTTTATTCCTCGAGGAACACGCCTTACTCTGTATCTTAAGGTCTCTTAAATAACAAAGAATGTTTTAGTACCTTTATTTGTTACAGTAACTTGAACTTATCTCTTGTCCTTGTTGTCTGCGTGCTTTCACCGTGATGACAAAGGTTTTGCCCATCCAGAACGGATTCAAAAGCTTGTGAAGAATTATTCACAGTTTGTTTCTTTCCCAATTTACACATGGCAGGAGAAGGGAATCGCTAAAGAGGTCTTTCAACATGATATCAACATTTGCATTTTTTGACAAAAGGTATTGACTAGTTTACGGGATAACTAACCTGTTATGCTTTTCTCATCACAGGTCGAAGTTGATGAGGGCCCAGTTGAAGCCAAAGTGCCTGTTCAAGATGAAAACTTTGAGGTAGTTACCTTTATGTAGTTTTGTCATCATCTATGGGATCATTTGCAACATGCATGTGATTGATTGTTTTTCAACTTTGATGTAACAGAAAAAGAAGAAAACAAAGAAGGTTGTGGAGAGGTACTGGGATTGGGAGCTTACAAATGAAACTCAACCTATTTGGGTGAGTTGTTAAGTTTCGGTTTAGAATTGCTCTAGTTTCAATTGTGTATTTCTAAAGTTCTATATGTGATGCTATTACTAACTTTATCTTTACAGCTTCGTAATCCTAAGGAGGTGACAACAGAGGAATACAATGACTTCTACAAGAAAACTTTTAATGAATACTCGGATCCGTTAGCATCATCACACTTTACAACTGAGGTAATGACATTGTTTAGTGGGAACTGGGAAGTTATTTAAATCAACTTCGGGAACTCTCTGCACTTTCTTTGGATTCAGTTAACATGGGTCTTACGTCACTCCTCAAGCTTTAAACATTGGCTTTGCAGGGTGAGGTGGAGTTTCGTTCTGTACTTTATGTCCCAGCCATTTCACCAATGGGAAAGGATGATATAACCAATCCCAAGACGAAGAATATTAGACTTTATGTTAAAAGAGTCTTCATTTCGGATGATTTTGATGGTGAATTGGTAATAACATGTCATTCCTTTTTACGTTAAGTAATATAATTGATTCAAATATAATCTGACTTGTGCAAACCTTGTATTGTTTTGGTTAAATAGTTCCCTCGATATCTAAGCTTTGTCAAGGGTGTTGTGGACTCAAATGACCTCCCACTTAATGTCTCACGTGAGATTCTTCAAGAAAGTCGCATTGTACGTACTATTTTCCCTAGAATTATTGTTAGATACTAAAATAGTTACTTATTTCTCTTAGTTAACATTCTCCTGACTGTAACTTTGTTTTTATTGAAGGTTCGAATAATGAGGAAACGTTTGGTTCGAAAAACCTTCGATATGATTCTGGGAATATCAATGAGTGAAAATAAAGGAGTATGCATCATATTTTTCCTTTTCTCTCTCCATCTCTTTGTGACGTTGGAATTATATTTACCGTCAAAGGACTTAAATAACGCCTTGCTAATACCAAATTTACATTTTTTGTGAGCTAATGAGAATTTATCAGCGTGTTATGCTATTTTGCTTTAGCGTGCTAAAATCTGCTTGCATTGTAGGACTATGACACATTCTGGGAGAATTTTGGAAAACATTTGAAATTGGGATGCATAGAAGATCGTGAAAATCACAAACGTCTTGCACCATTGCTCAGATTCTTCTCTTCCAAAAGTGAGGATGAGATGATAAGTTTGGATGAATATGTCGAGAACATGAAGCCTGAGCAGAAGGATATCTATTACATTGCTGCTGACAGCGTTAGCAGTGCTCGAAATGCACCTTTCCTGGAGAGACTTCTTGAGAAGGATCTTGAAGTATATCTTTCTTCATTGAATATTGAAATCTATACTCGACTAAATTGATCATGAGGCTTCATTCTCAAAGATAATTTTTTGGTGCCATCTTCTAGGTGCTCTACTTGGTAGACCCCATTGATGAAGTTGCCATTCAAAGTCTGAAATCTTACAAGGAGAAGAATTTTGTAGACATTAGCAAAGAAGATTTGGATATAGGTTAGTCTGTGGGTTCTTAGTCTTGTGAAGTTACATTTATAACTATTGGCTATCTAAAGCCTTTATTCTTGCTTTAACTGGCTTAATTTGGTCAGTTCCTTGTCAGTTAGAAGGATAATTAGGTTAATGCAAGTCATGGTTTACCCATATATTTAATATTTTTGTTTGTCTCAATCTGTAGGCAATAAGAATGAGGAAAAGGAGAAAGTAACCAAAGAGGAATTTAGCAAAACTTGTGATTGGATCAAGAAACGTTTGGGTGAAAAAGTTGCCAATGTTAATATCTCAAACCGTCTGAGTTCATCACCCTGTGTTTTGGTATCAGGGAAGTTTGGCTGGTCTGCCAACATGGAGAGGTGAATATCCTCTTGTTCCTCTACTTTTATAAGTTAGCATTGGTTAACATGAATATAATTCTTTCAGACTCATGAAGGCACAGACTGTTGGCGACACCTCTACTTTGGAGTTTATGAAGGGGAGAAGGGTGTTTGAGATCAACCCTGAGCATCCAATCATTAGAGAACTGAATGTATGGTGACGAACATTGAACTCAACCTCTCTACGCCATTCATTATTATTTTATGAGACTTGTTATACTCTCTCTGCAGGCTGCATTCAGGAGTAAACCAGATGATGATGATGCCTTGAGAGCTATAGATCTTTTGTATGATGCAGCACTTGTTTCTAGTGGCTACACTGTAAGTTTTTCTAATTATTTTCTGACAATAATATCATATCGCGTCAATTTAGTGAGAGTTGATCATCGGAAACATGCCACGCTTAATTGTGAATGTGTTGATACTCATATTACATTTGTGTTGTTGCATCGTTTATGCAGCCTGACAATCCAGCGCAGCTAAGTGGTAAGATATATGAGATGATGGGAATGGCTATTTCGGGTAAATGGTCGGCATTTGATGGGAAGCAGTCAGCATCACAGACTTCCCAAGCAGAGACATTGGAAGCTGAGCTGGTTGAGCCTGTCCAAGCTGGTGGTCAAAAATGAAAACTGCATGTTGTGTTTTGAACTTGGCCCCGTTTGCACATACTATATGTTGAGCAAAGATTTCTAGGGTTTCCTTAGCAAGTACAGGAAATGTAATGTTTGGGCTTTTTAAATAATGCAATATAGTTAAAAAGTTGTGCCATTGAGAGTGGAAGTGGTTTAACAAGTTGCGAACCTTTACTATAGTTTTTATTTCGCAAATATAAAGAAGGCAAATTACTTTCTGATATCATGGAGTTTCTGATTTAGGTGTTCATCATGTTGAATTGACTTGGCTCGAATTTCTACCTACGTAAAATGTAAAATCGAACACGTTATTTAATTTAACCGTGTTCAACATAGCTTCCTGCTCTTTAATATATTATGAATAAAGGGTCTTGTCAAAAGCACTGATATATTTATTGACTTAGGGGTTGTTTGTTTGGCTCTGAATGGAACTGTTCAGCGTTGAATGTTGAACCGTTCAGCATTAAGCGTGTTTGTTTCTCATCTCTGAATGATTCAGTGTTGACTGATTCAACAAAACAGTGTTGAATGATTCAGCATCAAAGTACATTCTGAATGATTTAGAGTCACTATCAAATAACATGTCACATTCAGAGTTAATTCATATAGAGTCTCTGAATCATTCAGCGCTTAATCATTCTGAAACAAACAAACAGTCCCTTAACCTAGGATAGACAACCATTAATGTTTTGACTCTCGGGCTGATTCTTTTTATTGAGTCATCCATCGTAACTAGAATATAATATTATTGAGTTGTGCTAAAGTTTGTTTATCATTGTTTAATCACTTTAATCTTAAAATTTTATTGTACTTATTTTTTTGGGGTCAAGTTAGCTGAAATGTAAGGAAATCGTGATTAACTTGAAGAGAGAAATCTTACATGGATTTATGTACTATAGGTCGCTTAAAACTGATTACTTGGTTGGAAGTTGTGAAGCTGGAGAACCTTTACATGGACTTGTGTAAATCCTATTTTGCTGCAAAAACTACCTTATCAAGTGGCGGATGTATGGGGCTCCCTAAGGAACACTCGTTATTTTTTTATTTATGAGGAAAATGTTAAATTTAGTTTAATTTGTTAATGAGAATAGATAAAAAATTTGCATATTGAAAATTTTTAGAGTAACTTATAAAAAATTTAGACCCCAATTTTTAATTTCTAAAACCACCCCTGCTTGGAAACATTTCCTGCATCCCAGACTTAGAGATATGTGCTCATTGCACATGTGTTTATGTATTCCTATTCATCACCATTGCACTTAATTGTATTATTTGACATATTCAAACAAGAGTATCTAAATCAACTACTCAAATAACCAGAGTAAATTCAAGTTATGAAATTGAGATACATCTCAATGTGCATTTATGTAGCAACTATGAAACATATAAAATTTATAATAAAATATAAAATAATATAGACTTATTCATCGTGGGTGATGTTTTTCTAATAATTTAAAATTGAATAAGAATCTAAGATAAAGACGCACCGCACGTGTTATAAGCTTCACCTTTAATATAAAACGCAATTTATATTTAACAAATTTATAAAATAATTTATTAAAATTGTGATTTTATTATTAATTACGTTTCTTTAGTAAAGCTTTAATGTTTAGGTTTTTTTTTTATCTTGATGTGAAGTAGAGTTTAGAGTTAGTTATTGGGCAATTGTAAAATGTATGCGCTAGGTCAGAAAGCCCAAGAAGGGTTTCTCTTTGTGCCTGCCTGCATCTCTTCAAAATTTTAAACCCTACTTAAAACCCTTATTCTGAGCGCCACACAAGTTTTCCCAGCTCCAAACGCACCTCGCCACCAAATGAATTACCGATTCCAAAACCTCCTAGGTGCCCCTTACCGAGGCGGTAATGCCGTCGTAACACAAAACACTAACCTAATCTCCCCCGTGGGTAACCGCATCTCCGTCACCGACCTTGTCAAATCCCAAACTATATCCCTACCCTTCCAAGCCTCCAGCAACATCCGCCGCATCGCCGCTTCACCAGACGGCGTTTTCCTCCTCACCGTTGACGACAACAACCGTTGCCTCTTCATCAACATCCCTCGGAGAGTGGTGTTGCACCGCATAACGATTAAGCATACCGTAAACGCAGTTAAGTTTAGCCCCAATGGGAATTATATAGCTGTGGCGGCAGGTAAATTGTTGCAAATATGGAGATCTCCTGGGTATAGGAGGGAAGTTTTTGGGTTTGAATTGGTTCGAACTTTTGCTGATTGTAACGATAAGATATTGACAATTGATTGGGATAATGAATCAAAATATTTGATTGTTGGGTCCAAAGATTTGACTGGGAGGTTGCTTTTTGTTGATAAGGTAAAGGGTGGTTATAAAAAACCATTTTTATTTCTCGGTCATAGAGATTCCGTCCTTGGTTGTTTCTTTGGTGTTGATAAAAAGAGTAACAAGGTTGATAAAGCATATACTATTGCTCGTGATGGTTTTATTTTCAGTTGGGGTTATAGTGGCAATGTTGGTAATCATGACATTGGAGATGAAGGTCTGGATGACGAGGAGCCAAAGTCTCCCGGAACGCCGGAGAGGGATGGAGAAATTGTGGAAGGCTATGTGAAGAAAAGGAAGGATTTTGATGGTAAAGAAAGTTGTTTTGGTGAAGGTGAGGGGTATCTGAGTGGAGGCAAATGGGAATTGTTAAGGAAAGATTGTTTTATGCAGGCTCCAGCGAAATTGACCGCCTGTGATTATCATAGGGGACTTGATCTTGTTGTGGTGGGATTCTCCAATGGGGTTTTTGGATTATATCAAATGCCGGATTTTGTATGCATGCATTTGCTGTCAATATCAAGAGAGAAACTTACGACAGCCGAGTTCAATGACCTCGGAAATTGGTTGACATTTGGCTGTGCAAAGTTGGGGCAGCTGTTGGTGTGGGAGTGGCGGTCAGAGAGTTATATATTGAAGCAACAGGGACACTACTTTGATGTGAATACTCTTGCATATTCGCCAGATTCACAACTCTTGGCTACTGGAGCCGATGATAATAAAGTGAAGGTAAATGAATGTTTGAGAGATTTTTGGAGGGTTTAGATCTTACCTGGTTGATATGCATTTTGGCCTTGTATTTTCATGGTTATGGTTCTGTTTTAAACTTTTAAGAATCTTGTGCTAATGATCTATGTTCTTGTGAACTACATGTTTTCTCAATGCCGCTTTTCCTCTCTTATTTCACTTTAGTGCCTGAAATTTTAGATTTCTCTTGTCATAGGTATGGACTGTTTCATCAGGCTTTTGCTTTGTAACATTCACTGAACATACTAATGCTGTTACTGCACTCCATTTTATGGCTAATAACAACTGCCTTTTAAGTGCATCTCTGGATGGGACTGTTCGTGCTTGGGACCTGTTGCGTTATCGAAATTTTAGAACATTTACTACCCCTTCTTCTAGGCAGTTTGTTTCTTTGGCAGCTGATCAAAGTGGTGAAGTGATTTGTGCTGGAACTCTAGATTCATTTGAGGTAAGCTGGTTAATGCTCTTTGATTTCAACATTCCCGTATTGATCACATTTCATGATCTTTTTCTTCATCATCATGTGTTACAGATTTTTGTTTGGTCAATGAAGACGGCTCGTTTATTGGATGTTCTTAGTGCTCATGAAGGTCCGGTTCATGGGTTGATGTTTTCTCCGACAAACGTGAGCTAACTTATCTTCACCTGTTTTCTGCGGGTTCAATTTGTTTAAGTTTCCATTTATCTTCATTGGTTCTATTCTTTAATCCAAAGTTGTCTTCTAACATTGTCTATTCACTATTCTTCATCTACCTTTATCTTTCATAAAGTATGTTTTGCATCTCTGATCTTTGAGTTGACTCATATCTATTGATTCAATTTATATATTTTTAGGCAATATTAGCTTCATCGTCATGGGACAAAACTGTTCGGTTATGGGATGTATTTGAAGGAAAAGGTGCTGTCGAAACATTTCCTCACACGCATGATGTTCTGACCATTACTTACCGACCAGATGGAAAACAACTGGCTTGCAGCACATTAGACGGACAGATTCACTTTTGGGACCCTATTGATGGGATGTTAATGTGCACCATTGAAGGCCGTAGGGATATAGCTGGAGGACGACTAATGACTGATAGACGATCTGCAGCTAACTCAAGTTCAGGAAAGTGCTTCACGACCTTATGTTACTCTGCTGATGGGAGTTACATCTTAGCTGGAGGAAATAGCAAATATATCTGTATGTATGACGTTGCAGATCAGGTAAAAGTTTATAAGTACATCTTCATTCTCTGATAGATAGTAAATGATGTACTTCAATTTGAAATTTAAACCATATTGCACGTAGGTTTTTTGGATTGACAAGAAAAAGAGTCATTTTTGGATTATTTTACGTGCCATTCAGATTATTGATGGCTTTTGCATTGTATATTTGACAACCATAAGATGCCCTCTGGCCTTTGTTACTTTCCTTCCATCAAACTCCTGAACAAAAAGAAAGTGACCATGAGATGCCCCTCTTATTTTTTTCTACCATTGCTTATTCGGAACTGGTAGGATGAATTTGCATGGCAATCTGGTTTTAAATGGAACCATAGATTTGTGTATCCTAATGCTCGACTCGAGTAGTTTCCGAGCTTAATTGAGCTTTTAAACCAAGATATATTTTTATTTTGTGTTGAAAAGTTTCAGTTTGAACTCAACCATTATGCATAAATAATCAAATTTTAAAGTGATTATGATTTAATTTTTACTAGGTAAATGAGCTTAATCAAGTGAACCTGAGTAAACTTCTTATCTCGAATCAAGCCTTAGGTTTAAAAGTGAAATTCAATCAAGCTTTAGCTTCTTACAACATGATCTCAGTTTGACTTGATTACATCCTACTTGTACATGTTCCTGTTTTACGAACTCCTTTCTCTCTTGTTCAAGACTTATACTATGCTTTCCCCTCATCTTTTCCCGTCTGAAACCAGGTTCTACTCCGACGTTTTCAAATAACTCATAACCTCTCTTTGGATGGAGTTCTTGACTTCTTGAACTCGAAAAACATGACAGAAGCTGGTCCATTGAATTTAATCGACGATGATAACAGTGATACAGAAGAAGGTATTGACAAACAAACCCGAGGAAATATGGGGTATAATCTTCCTGGATCCATGCCTAATAATGGTAGGCCTATCATCAGAACGACATCCCTTAAAATTGCACCGACGGGACGAAGTTTTTCAGCAGCAACGACAGAGGGTGTTCTTGTTTTTTCAATTGACGACTCATTTATCTTTGATCCCACGGATCTTGACATCGATGTTACACCTGAGGTACTTTCCTATTCTAGATCTTTGAGTTGTACAAAATTTACCAATATTAATTAATTCTTGTTGTTATGTAGGCCATAGATGCAGCACTTGATGAAGATCAGCCAAGCAGAGCTTTAATTCTTAGCTTGCGCTTAAACGAAGATACACTAATTAAAAGGTGTATTTTCTGTGTCAGTCCTGTAGATGTTCCTGCGGTTGTTTCATCAATCCCATACCGATACTTGCAAAGATTAATTGAGGCATTAACCGACCTTCTTGAAAGGTGCCCGCACTTGGAGTTTGTACTTGGATGGTGTCAGGTAGGCTTCAGTTTATTTTGCTGGATAATTTGATGTTTATTTGTGTTTTGCTGTTGACCTGGTTCTGTTTGATTTACCACAGGAACTCTGCAAACTTCACGGTAACTCTATTCAACAGAATTCCAGAAACCTTCAACCTGTATTGAGATCATTACAGAAGGCAATCACCAGAATTCATCAGGATTTGGCTGATACATGTGCTTCGAATGAATACATGCTTCGATACTTATGCTCTGTTAGGGACAAGAGATGAATCGAGTGTACTTCAATCGGCCGATGAAAGAAAATCTTTGGAGGAAAGGTATTTACTGCTGGTCTGGTTCCAACATGGAGCTGAGGAACATACATGCTATGGTTGGATACATTGAACGTATATGCGGGTACGACGGATGACATTCCCATAAAATGAGATGCTGATTTTTTTTGTTTTTATATGTTTGGGAATATCGGGAAGAAATTCACTTATTTTTCAAATGATATCGTCAAGTGTTGTAATTTCATTCCATTTGTAACAAAAATGTATTTTGTTGTCTCCCTCCATCGCTCTTTCTTACGTAACGTATTTGCTTACACAAGATTCTGGAAAAACATTCCCATCCAAACCTTTGGTGAATTGATATAATTTATGTTAGCTTATAATTTTGTATGCTCGTTTAGATGAATACAAATATTTATGTATTTAGTTTGTTTTGATTTGTTCGTAAATATTTTTTTGACTTATTTATAAATTCATTTATTTTCAAGCTTGTTTATTTGTTTTTTTTATATTTTAAATATTGATGAAGATATAGATTAACTTGAACATAAAGTGAGTTTAAAAATTTAAAGGTTAATAATATAATTTTATCGTACTTTTTTTTATTCACAATTAAAAGGATAAAAAGGGAATATTAGTCACCAACATTAAATAAAATGTTGTGAATGTTAAATGAATAAATATAAATATTTTTAGAAAAATAAATGATATTAAAAAAAATTAAATATACAATTTCAATTTTATTTATTTACATTCCATTGCCCTTGACATATATTCACGCGAGTCTTTGGATTAAGAAGGACTATAAATTTAAAGGGGGGGGAAAACCCCATTTCACGAACGGCTCTTTGACTCTGGTCATTGCTCAATTTCTCTTTATCCGGTCCAATTTTCGTCAGAGGTATATACTTTCCCGTTAGTTGCAGTCTACTTATTTTAGGGTCTTGTTTCATAATTTAGGTTTGGACCTTGTTCGATTATCGAGATGTGCAAGTTTCTAGTCTTGGGTTTCTCAGTCGATTGGATTTCGAATTGGGGGGTTTTTGCAGGGTTTTGACTCAGATTTAGAGTTGTCCTTTCTGACTAATCTATGCCGTATAGGCGACATTACTAGATTGGAATAATTATTGTTTGAAAGGAACCAAATTAAAGTGGTTTTGAAAAGTTTCGATTTCTTAGCTGTGGACATTCATTTGGATTTTAATTAAACAGTTTGGACAACTGTATTGGGATCACGAAGTAAAGAAGGATTAAAACCTTCCCAAAGTTTTGAATTTTTCTTTTTTGGGTTTTAAGGAGTCGGACTAAAGATATGGTTATCTATATTATGGACTCTCTTAAATATAATTTTGTTATGAAATGCATGGTCTTAGTTTCATATGGAAAAATTACATGGCAAGAGCAGATCTTTCACTCTCAACAATGATGATTTGTTTCTTACTTTTTACATCTTTAAGGCAAATCGAAAAAGGTAGAAATCAGACTATATTTTTCAGTAGATAAAGCTTAAAATTGGTAACAAATTTTAGGGGCATAAAACAAATAGATGCAATCAAATTCAGTTAGTTTCTGTGAAATTTGTGTTGATGTTTTCTGCGTCTTGTGCCAGCATCCATTGTTTTCGAAGAGTGGATACTTTCAGAAGAGGTTAACCAAATCGAATAAGCTCGAGTTGCCACAAGATTTCCCTGGAGGGGTCGAAACATTCGTGATGATTACATTGTTCATCTATGGCTCCACCACTTTGGTTGACCCTTTCAATGTGGCCGCCCGGGTACGCTGCCGAGTTTCTAGAAATGACGGAAGCGTACTGCATCGGCAACCTCTGCCAGCGATTCGATCTCTATTTAAACCAAGTGGTATTGCAGAGTTGGGATGACACACTGATTGTTCTCCAAAATGCCAAACGTTGCTCCCATGGTCTGAGGAGCTGCTGATCGTGAGCCGGTGCATTGAGTCCCTGACCTTTATTGCCTGCATGGAGATTCTCAATCCGGAGAGGAGAAGGGACAAACCGGTTGTTACGTTGCAAGCATTGGCCGGCGAGGCTTGGAGAAGCGAAACAGTGAAAGCAATAGCAAGCAAAGACTTATGGATCAAGGATCTGATAGCTATACCATTTGGATTATTCAAAAGGATAATTGTTTCCTTAAGAAGGCAAGGAATGAATGGCAAATACGTGACACCCATCATTGTTTTCTACGCAAATAAATGGCTACTCTCCAAGAAAACACACCAATTCTGGGAAAATTCAGGTGAGAAAACTGAAGACAGTGACTCAGATTTTACAAGGGATTCTTGATTTACTCCCCATTGGGGAAAAGGCCAGTAGGGCCATTCCTGTTGGATTTTACTTTGCATTGCTCTCTAGATCCTTGGAATTTGGTTTAACAAGTGACAGAGAAGTGAAATTGCAAGACCAGATATCTTACCGTCAGACGCATGACCGACTTTATAGAGCAATGAACAGCTTCCTACAGGTAAGTTTTCGATAACTTATCGCCATCCTCAAACATTTAATGTACTCATGTCATGTTTAAACCGGTATTCCACCTATTGGTCAGGCACATAGAGATATAACACAAGAAGAGAAGGGATCAGTGTGCAAATATCTAAACTGCCAAAAACTTTCACAAGAGGCATGCATTGAAGCGGTTCAAAATGAGCTGATGCCACTGCGTTTGATTGTCCAAGCTCTTTTCGTTCAACGAAGAAACACCCACCAAACATTTAAAGAATGGTCGGACTCGTTTAGGTTCACCGGGAGCCTGTCGAGCTCAAGATGTCCAAACTCAAGAAACCTGGGAGAAAGTCCATACAAGGACGCAGTAGAGCCGGCGAACAGCAACCCATTGAGCATGTTCCTACCAGATGACCTTCCATTCCAACCATGGAGAGAAACTACGAATCAACGAGCTTTAGACTTCAGAGCCTTGAACAAGAGCTCATGGTGTTGAAGAAGACTCTTCAATGGCATGAAATGTCAATGAAAACAGATTCGAATCCGAGCAAATCAGAGTGCATGAAACCGTATGGCTTAGAAAAAATATCTGGAAGCCAGAGAAAGAAGGGTTGGGGAGATTTAACGGGTTGCATAAGTACCTCTAAATTGATTATAATTTATGTCAACCGGAGTTTAACATTTTATAATCATAATATTTTATTTGATCAATCAAATAAAATAAAATCATATTTCTAATAATGTTTCAAGTAATCTAACATATCAATAATTTTATTTACAGAAAAAGTGTTATATTTTTATAAAGAGAAAATAACCTCAGTGACCAAAAATGCCTTATAATATACGATTTTAACCAATTTTTTTTGGATTTGCCAAAATGACCAACTAAATCGCAATGCGATTGATAATTCGCAACGCGATCTCCGGTATCGCAAATTAGTTTCCAGATTCGCAACGCGATTATGACTATCGCATTGCGATTTCCCAAATTCGCGTTGCGATTTTCCTAATTCGCAATGCGAATACGTAAATCGCAACACGAATTTTGAAAATCGCAATGCGATTACGTAAATCGTAATGCGAATACGTAAATCGCAATGCAAATCTGTAAATCGCAACGAGATTCTGACTATCGCAATACTGAATTTCAAATTCGCAACTCGATTTCTGAATTCGCAACAGGTTTTAGTTTCGCAACACAAATGTTTTGGGTATATAACTACGCAGCAGCAGCAACTCATAACCTAAATCCCTAAATCGCAACTCATTCCATCTCCATCTATCACTCTCTCCGGCGACATCCGTTCCTATATCCAACGACATCATTCCCCATCCGGCAACAGGTTTTAGTTTCACAGCTCGTTTGTTTAGTAAATTAATTTACAATAATGAAATCATCTAATGTTGATCATGTTTGGATATATTTGTGTTTTGGAGGGTCATGGGAGAATGTTCATGGTGTTTTACAATATATGCCTTTACCCATGAATCTTCAACTAAAACTGTCATTAAAAAAGTTATCTTATAAAACTCTAATGTTACGTGTTGTAAATAAATTGAATTTAGAGCCCCTAAGTGGATTTAGGCTATCTTATCAGAGAAATGGTAAAGTTTATTTGTTAACCGACAATGAAGATGTTGAACGATTCATTGCTTACATTAGTGTTTCAAGTGATGATGTTACATTGTATGTTGTTGAACCTAGAAGTAGTGAAGTTGGGTCAGTAACGGGTAGTAATCAACTAAGTTTTTCAACCCCAGTTTATGGTGCTCAAAATTTAATGGTTCCACCACAATTTCATCACCAAGCAAATTTTGTTTCACCACATTTCCAATACCAAACACAATCTCAAAACCCACAACCTTTCCCTAATCCAAATCCCAATCAACTTTCAGCACCAAATTCCGGTTTTCGTATTGACCAGTTAGACGATGATGAGCCAACAGAAAAAATTGTGAGTACTAGTCAGTATTCGAAATTTGATCTTGGTCAATACCCGGACTTTGATCTTGGTCAATACTCGGATTTTGATGATTTTTCAGAAGAAGAAACAGGCCCTGCGTGTAATGATTTTGATATTGGTCAATACCCGAATTTTGATGATGAAACAGCCGTTGCCGAGGAAGATGTTGTTGATGATAATGAGGAGGAAGTTACGACTGTAAATGAACATGTTGAACATCCATTCTGTAATTCATATAACACTGAAGAAGAAAAAGAAGAAGAAGAAATCCCCAAAGAAAAGTCCCCGAACAAAATGCCACGGGAGTATAACTGGAATATGCCAGAATTACTTTAGATACCGGAAGAAGAGTTGGTAAAGATAGCAGTTGATTGTTACACAAAAATTATTCGTATCAAGAAAGATGATTGTTTTGATACAAATGAAGACTTGAAGATAGCTTTGTATACGAAATGTGTGGAAGATGTCTATCAACTAAAAGTTAACAAATCAAGCAAAGATCGTTTCGAAACAAGATGTATGATTGACAAAAACTGTACGTGACGTATGATTGCAAAGAGGATAAAAGATTGCGAAATGTTTCAAGTTGGGACTTTTTATTGATAAACATACATGTTCAAGAACCCAAGTTTTTTCCTCACCATAGACAGGCAAACAAAAAGGTGTTGGGTGGTTTTCTGGCTGAGTTAATGTTTTTGAATAGCAAGGTATATCAGGGACATGAAATTATGTCTGACATGAATGCTCGGTTCAAGATTAGTATCTCATATTCTCAAGCTTGGAGAGCC